CAGAGATTTTATCTGAATTACTATCTCAGCAACTCCTCTGCCTCCATGCTTGCCAGCTAGGGGTTTATATTCACTACAGCAAGCATGTTTTGTGTCTGTTCTAGAGACGGGTGAAGCATGAATCTGGGAAAAACAAAACCTCATCACACCAAAGAGCCATGACATTTCCCTAGCACAACTATTTATACCAAGTTGAGAACTGTCTCCAGCAAGCACAGGGGAGCAGGACTCACTTGTACCCAATCAGCTGAAAAAGAGAAGTGGCTCCACACAAGTGTTATCAAACACCAAAACAAATCATCTCTGCAGCCTTCAGAGCCACTCACTGAAACAAAACCAGGCAGACAAAAAGCACCTTTCAGAGCCTGTGCTGCCATGCAGCCAGACCCTGGCAGGCTGGAGACCTGGGCAGGGAGCAGCTCCTGAGGCTCAGCACAGGCCAGTGCAGGGTCCTGCAGCTGGGGAGGGATAACCCCAACACCAGCACAGGCTGGGATGACCCACTCTGAGCAGCTCTGCAGAGGGACCTGGGGTGCTGGTGGGTGACAAGCTGACCACGAGCCAGCAGTGAGTCCTGGGAGGGCCACTGGGACCCTGGGATGCACTGGGAGGAGTGTGGCCAGCAGGACAGGGAGGTGAGCCTGCAGTAATTCCCCTCAGAAAAATGACAAGGAGCTGCCAGAGAGGGCCCAGCAGAGGCCACAAAGATGTTGAGGGGTCTCAGCATCTCCTGTGAGGAGAGACTGCAGGAGCTGGGCCCGTTCAGTTTGGAGGAGAGAGGACTGAGAGGGGATCTCATCAGATTTAATTCTCCCAAAGGCAGCTGCCAAGAGGATGGTGCCAAGCTCTTTCCAGTGGTGCCCAGCAACAGGACAAGGAGCAATGGCCATAAACTAAACACAAGAAGTTCCACCTCATCATGAGGAAGGGGTGAACTCTCCCTGTCTGGGGACATTCCAAACCCACCTGGATGCATTCCTATGTAACCTGCTCTAGCTGACCCTGCCTTGGCAGGGGCATTGGACTAGATGTTCTCCACAGGTTCCTACCAACCCTATCAATTCTGTGATCCAATTCTGTGATCCCATATTTCTACCCACATCTCACAAGTCCAACACAATAAAGCAGCTTTGGTGCTCATAACACTCATAAAACATGTCTACACGTCCACATTCCTGCACAGATACACAGAAAATTTTGCAGACATCAAGTGAAGCTTTTGAATGCCACATACATTTGACTTTCTTTTTGGGCTAATGCTCACTTATAGAAAGGAAATGCCAACCCAAATGTTGTTATTATGTTACAAAAAATAAAGCAACTTACAGGAAACAGACAACCCATCCTATGGAAGACATTTTCACTAAAGTATAACCTCACAGCTTAGCAAAGAAAATAATTTAATTCCTCAAATTAAAAGTTTATGTTGAAAATCATAATAATCTACAAGATAGGCAGCTGGTCCCTATGCTTAAAACTTTCACTAATCATCACAGCTTAGTGATGAGCACAGAGGATCAGTCTATCTTGGTGAATCCAAACTGACATAACCATTTTATCCAAGCTCCTGAAATCCCAGCTTCTGGGAAGAATTCAGGAGAAACAATCTGCTTTCATTTCAGGAGAAGATGCCTGTACCACACTGAGACAGTGAACAGACTAACACCTCTCTCACATTCAGATTTAACTGAATAAATAGATGGAAAAGAATCACTTGATAAACATGAGGAGGATCTCAAAACTCTGTGCAAACCAGAGCCAGTGGAGTCCCCTGAACCACAGGCCTGCTTACAGAAGGCTGCCACAAAAAGCAATTCCAGTTAATAAAGAGCAATCTATCAAATTCACTGTGAAATAAACTGAAACGAAAGGCATTACTAATTCGTCCTTCCAGTGTTGCCTTGCATCAGAATTAAGACAGTGACACCATCACCCTCCAGCACTAAAAGCTGTTTCCAGCAACTCAAATATACTCTGAGTAATTAAAGAACACAATGTGCTGAAACCTTCAGTACTTCAATAATAGCACTTTTCACTAACAGGTTGAGGCAGAAACATCAGCTATTTTTGAACTGAAGCTCTGAGACAGTACCTAATGTGAAACATTTAAAAGAGTGGCCCATTCCTGGCACAACAGAAAAGCTGCTGTTGACTTCAAGAGAGCAGAATTGACTAGAGAAGCTGTAAAAACACAAAACACTTCAGTCCTACAAAATCTATATGAACTAACCTTGCTTAGATGTTTCTGAAAGAGCAAGGAAAAGAGTCTTTAAACACGGTTTCTACCAGAAGAAGGGCATGGTTTGCCTGCTGTGAGATGGGAGAAGTGGAGGTCCATGTTGGAAGCCAAGTCAGGCAAACACCAAAGGGCTCAGAGCCTGTTCGTGGCAGGAGGAGATGGCCCAGGAGGGAGAGGACTCAGCACTGGAACTGCAGCCATGGCTGGGCAAAGCCTCTGCCATAAGGCACAGGTGCCTCCCAGCAGTGGAGGGGGTGCAGGAGGTGCCCTGCAGCCTCCTCCTGCTGCACTGCAGGGACACCACAGCACTCTGCAGCACAGCATGGAGCCTGGTCCTGGTGTGAGAGCTGCGCTGAAATGACACGGCTGAGAACAGAGAGCCAGGCTGGTGCTCTGGCTGAGGGGCCAGAGCCTCTCACCCTGCCCACAGAGCAGCTCTGCCCCTCTCAGCCCTGCCCTGCTCCAGCCTCCCCAGACAAGGCTGGTGTGAGGCTGGAGGAGCAGAGAACCTCCTGTGGCAGCCAAACAAACACACTGAAAACACCTCTGGAAGTGAGGCTGGCCATAAACTTTTACAGCCCTTAGGCTCCTTGAGTGGTGCTTTAGGATGGAGGGAGTGGGTGGCAGGAAGGGGAGGGTGGCACAGCACACTGAGGGCACGGTTACCCCAATGCAGTTTATTGATGGCTCCCTGTCAAAGCAGCCTGAGAGCAGATGGGATCAAAGCACCAACAGCACAGCCCACCAGAGGGGATCCTGTCACAGGGGCCTCGCACAGAGCACCACACAGCACAGCACACAAAGCTATTTCTGTAATGTCACTTGGGACCTCAGCATAGCAGACATATGGGAGTCTCAAACAGGGAAACAGAAAAACCATCTCTGGAGTTTCTGCTGAGTGGAGGGCAATTGAGGGCAGGAGCAACTTGTGCATCCAGAATCAAGTCCAGGACAGAAAGATGTGTGGGGTTGTAGGATAGGAACCTGAAAGAGCAGTTCACATTTTGTACAGACAAAACAGCAACCCCAATCAAAAAGTAATCTCCAGGGTTTTAAAAGGAATAATTTCACATAACTGAAGAAAATTTTACTGAACTAGTTGGAAGAGAAAATGTACAGGGAAAAAAAAAAACACAGGACTGAAAATAGACAGTTCTTTAAAAGGAATTCATTAGAAGGCTGAAAATTCATGTTTCTGCAAGAAGGCTGTTGTAACTAAACCCCTGCTGATCAGTGACTCTATAGGTCAGACTAGATGTTCACAGTTAAATTTTTTAAATTGTGGCATAGGAAATGCTATTTTTAAGTTATTCAGGAAATGAGGAGAAATAGTGCATTTGCATTAGACAAAAGAGAAAGGAGATATTAAATGTCACTTCCTTGGGTTGAACACAAGTCAGAGACTATTTGCACCCATGTGCCCTATAAAGCTTTGGGTTGTCAACACCCATGATGCAGTAACATTCCAGGAACCTGGAGGAAAGCCACGTGCTCCTTCTCCAAGGACACATGCTGCACACACCACCAGGAAAGACAGCTGGGGCAATGGGAGTGGGTTTGGTAAGGCTTTTGTTGACTTACCCCTGGATAACCACTCTGAACAACAAATAAGGATTATACAGCTTCACTACTGTGAGCAATAGGTAAAATAAAACTGGTGGTAGATCTAGAAGAGGTTACAGGAGAATAAACATCATTCTTAACACACACGCCCTCAGAGACCAACAGCCCCAACTCTGGTCAACATCTCAGCCTAGGAACAAATATTAAAATTGCCCATTAAACCCTGCAGATTAGCCAGGCCATAAACACCAAGGGCAGTGCAGGCATGGGTGTGCTGGGCAGCCCTGAGCAGGCAGGGTCTGTCCCAGGGGGATGTGCTGCTCTGCAGCCAAACCAGGAGCTGCACATCCAGGAACCAGGAATGGGCCTGGGACTGCACCAGACTTTGACACTGCAGAGGATGCTGAGGTCACAGCAGGTAAGCAAAGACTGGGGATAAAGGGCTAATGTGATTATGGGATGTACAGAAAGAGAAACAGAGCAGAACTGGAGGAGATTTTATCTCCTTACACTGAAAGTGTGTGTACAGTGTATAGTCTTAAAATTATACTTAAATTCTTCAGTCTCTTTTCTAAGCATGCAAAGACTGGCTTAGACTGGAGAAAAATTCTCAGCAAGGGACTTAGAAAGCTTTATCTGCTTATTCTATCAAAAGGTAAATTCAGAGGGGGTGGTTCTCAGTGTGCTCAGGACAAAAGGGGTTCAAGTACTAATGAACCCTTTAACAGAGAAAGCTTTAACTATAAATTGCTTACAACCTAAGCTAGATAAATTCAAGGAAGTAATAAAGTGTGACTTTTCTCAACAGTAAAGGCAATTAACCTTTAGTTTAATAATGGTACAAGCAGTGCAAAGTAAAAGTAATGAATTTTCAGTGTTATAAATCTTTATATTAAAACTAGACACTGCATGGAATATTTGCTACAGGTGAATGCAAGTTTCTGGGTCTGGGCAAAACTCATAGCTTATTCTGAGAGATTTAAGGATCATCTTCTAGTTTTTAACTCAACAGATTTATAGTAATAACAGGAAAAGAACTGCATAATCTATTGCTGCCAGTAACATCTGCATAACCCCTCTTTGCTGGAGCAAGCATGACAGATTATAAAGCAGATTGTGTCTGAAACATCGAGAGCAGTTGGCAAAGAAGGCACAGCAGAGCTGCAGCCCCCAGGGCACAGGCAGACACAGAACTCACTCGGAGATGTGCACGAAGATGTCGGGCCCTCCGTCCGCGGGCGTGATGAAGCCGTGGCCCTTGGAGCGGCAGAAGCACTTGCAGACCCCTTTGTAGATGGGCCCCTCCGAGGCTCTCACCGTGCTGCAGGAGGAAGCACAAAGAGCAGCTCAGGGCCGGGCACATCCCACTGGCACCAGGGCACAGCAGCCAAGCCCTCCCTCCCTGCCTGGGAGCACTGAGCTCTGCAGCTCGGCGCTCGCTGCCACACACTGCACTGCCTGGGGCCTCTGGAAGGGACACTCGATGAAGAGGATGTCTGCTAGCACTACAATGCATCAATTGCCATCTTGAATTCAACTGCTCCATCACTGGGCCAAGTTTTCCTCCAGACACCACACTAAATGTGAGAATCTTCCACCTCCAGACACCACGCTAAATGTAAGACTCTTCTACCTTTGATGAGTTTGGGAGCACCAGTGTCCAGCTAAGTGTTGTGATTTCACAGCTTTCACAGGAAGGGTGAAGCCCAGCTGCAGTGTGTAACAGCCAGCCTCATGCCTGAACTCCTCCTCCACTGCCAAGGGACCTGTATTTTAAAATTAGACACATTTGCAGAGCCTGCAATCAGCAATACTGCCATCAAAAAGATTGCTTGTCCAGAAAACTGTGTGTGGTTAAATCCTTTTCTGCATCTAATACATTGATCCAGGGTTTGGCTCCAGGGATCCAAACTCACTCAAACACTTCCATTAATGAAAACCAGCTGGTTCAGACATATTATGGGGTTTACTCTGAGCATTGCTAGGTCAGAACCTTCTTCTTGCCAGGAGTATCCAGTGGGTTCCATGTTAGAAGAGGATTTTGGTGCAATTCTTCAAACACAATGACTGTGCAGCCATTTGGTTACACATATCATGGCAACTTGGACATCATTGTCCCAAATGTTTACATTTTACTGAAGTCTAAATAACATTGCTTTTTAAAAATGGTAACAGCTTTGTTCCTTAAATCAAACTAACAAAAAAAATGCAGTTGAAAGTGCTAAAGAAAGAAATCTCCATTAAATCACTTCATTTCCAGCTCTATAAAGCTGTCAACACACCTGACCCCACAAGTGCTTGTTACACAGAAAAGCACTCACTGCCCTAAACAAGCTATTAAAGTTCAATTGCATCTTTCAAAGAGATAAGGCACTGTAGGGGATGAGGCTCCTCCACTCCCAGTGAACCAAAATTAAATAATCCCAGTGAATAATAAGCCACTGCCTGTCACATTCATCTCTCTATACAACTGCTCACCTAGACCTCTTGTTTAAAGAGGAGACACACACACAAAATTCAGAGCTATTTTGGTTTTCAGGGCAAACAAATACAGCAAGATTCCTACACTAATTAATGATTAAAGAACTGTGGAAGCCAAATAACAAATTCTTTCTTTTTGTAAGAACCAAACTAAGATTAGCAGCTGAGAAGATTTACAAAGAGTTCATTATTAACACAGCACTGAAGCAAGCTAGCTTGGATTTGCTTTTCAAGGGCAACCCCAATTATTAAGTCAATTATGTTCCTTTTAGCAGTCTACTTCCATCAGGAAGTTCAGGGCATTTGAAAGCTTTTGGAACTGACAGAATATAAACTTTTCTTCTGCTTCTGTTCTTTTCTGTCTCATTTAGAATTTAGAAGTAATAATACGAAGCATCAGTGAGACTGTTATTATTTAAATCCTCATGGATAACTCTGGAAGAAAAGAGCTGGATAACACTGCAAGAAGTAAAAAGGGAAAAGCACACAAACCAGAGTGAGTGGCCCAAAAGAGGCTGGCTGTGGGGCTGAGATCTTACTGCCACAGCATCCATTCAGCACTGCCACACCTTCCTCACACAGAAATAAAGGGCTGTGGCAGAAGCTTCACATTGTACCCTGGTTCAAAGGCTCTGAGATGAACAAAGCCCACATTGCCTTCTTCAGGTCAGCCCCTCCCTTCTGTCAGGGAGGCCCCTGACAGGCACTGGGAATTCTTTGCAATGGCCAAACCTGGCCCCACCATCCTCTGCTGCTGCTCTGGGGAGGGGTTCCCTTTGGACAGGGCTCACAGGAGCCTGCACAGCACCACAGGGCCCCAGGAAAGCTCAGGGAAAGCCAGCTCTGCTGAAAGATCACTACCTCAAAGAACTACAAAAAGCAGCAAATATTACCTTGTTTCATGGAAAACCTCATACAAAAAACTTCAGAGAAAGAGATCAGGCATAACTGATCTCCCTGATAACCAGCATATTCTTTAACAGGTATATTTGAGTGAAGGTGTGAAAGCTGAATAAGAAAAGGAAACAAGGAAACACTTTCCTCTGAAAAGTGATGGAGCATCCCTAAAATGTAACTTTGATGACGTTAGCACAGGCGTCAAGAGAAAAAAACTTAAAACTTCCAGGGGGGTTTTGTCCAGTGCTTCAGGGGCAGTGAGAAGAGAGACCATGCCAAAAAAAATCTGGATCTGAGAAGGAAGCACCAACACAAACTGGTCCTGGAAGTCACAACTCAATGTCTGAAGTGAAGCAAAGCTTCAGACAACAAACTCTATTTTAAAAAAACTCTGTGTATTTTCCTCTCCCTCTAAAACTCTTGTCTTAAAGAGCCAAGACAATTCAAACACCCATTACTAAAACAGAGAATTGAAAAACTATAGGACATTTGGAGTGAAAGTCTAAAGGCATCAGAACTTCTTGGAAAAGAGTATCACAAAGCCTCTTCCAACACAAGGCCCCCTCCAGCCCAGAGCTCCCTGTGCCCATGCAGGGGCTGCTGGCTGTGCCCTGTTACTGTTGAGTAAGAAAAGATACAGCTTTATTAGAAGGCTGGTTTATAGTAGCTTTAATATGAAAATTCTCTTATTTTATAGATAGGTTTGACTATTCTATTGACTGGTAATTAATAAAAACATTTTTCCTACAGACAGTTTTTGAGAAGAGAAGAAAAGCAGAGTAGGAAAACACCACTTGTAGGTTGTTTACACTAATAGGTTATCACTGTTTCTCTACAACTCTCTAAAAAGTCTCACAGATCCACTGTGAGAAAGCGATTTTTCGCGCTGTCTGCCCAGGCTGTGGCACGGCCAGGGGCAGGCAGGGCAGTACTCACGCCGAGAAGGTCCTGGTGCGGCGGGTGGGCAGCGGGCTGGGGATCAGGTACCCCCGCAGCGGCGACGGCGAGCGCTCCCGCGGCCTCCGGCTCTCCGGCAGGTGCAGCGAGCTGGGCGGCGGGGGAGAGCCGGGGGCCTGCTGCGAGGAGGATGAGGAGGGCTCAGAAGACATCCCTGAAGCCTGAGGAGAGCCTGGAGAGAGGAAGAGATCTGATTTAGCGCGAAACGGGAATTGTCACAAATGCCACAAATGCTTGCGGATGCTGATTTTGTAAGAACGTGACTCACTTCCTGCAGACGTACACACGGACACAGCTCCACCACCAGCTCTGCTCTGGATCAGTGAGTGGATGTTTTGTAAAGTTTATTTCTTTTGAAATGTCAGTTTTGTCAGCTGTACTAGGAAGCTCCTCTGCAAACAGATTACTCCACAACTAACGTATTTGCTCACTCACAGGATCCTGAGGCACAGCTGAGCCCCAGCTCTTGGTCTTGGTGTGCCCCACACACCTCCCAGACTGATGGGCTTTGACCACAGGCAGCACAGAGGAGCTGCACACATCTGCACACAAACACACATCACAAGAAAGAAGCCCTTGAAGAAGAAATGCTGAGACAAAGCTGCACCTCCAGTGCTGCAGGTTGGTTTTGCTGTGTGATCACCGTGATAACCTCATTGCTGCTGCTGCTTTCTTATTTATTAACACAGCTCTGTCAGCTCATAACACCTCCAGCTTGACTTGAGAAGAGAATCAGAGGAGTGCTCCTTAACCCCTTCAGACAGCTGATTTACTCTGCCTGGGACAGGAGCACAGGCAAACCTGGAGGCAGTGCCAGCCCCCAGGAGGTGACCCCTCCTGCCTGGGGAGGTCTGGCAGACCAGCAATCCCCTTTGGGGATTGTCTGCCACAATCTCCCAGCAGCTAGGAAGCCAATAGTCCACACCTTCATTCACCCCAGCAGGCTCAGGTTTGTTCTTGCTCAGGTCCTACAGCAGAGAAGGGAGAAGATCCCCTTCTCAGCACACCTTCTCATCACCAACAGCAATACATCTCATAACACGACAGGCAGAACTCCCAGAGTCCATGCAAAGAGCAGGATCAGGAACAGCAGCACTTCTACACACACAAAAGCAGAGCTTACAGCAGCAGTGGCAGAAATAAGAGGAAATAACCAGCACTGCTCTGATATTACTATGCAAGTCCCCATCCACACTGAAAGAGGAAGGCGATTTGCAAAAATAACCAATAACCCACTACAGTCTTACTTAGGAAGATAAAAATATCTGGTTATCTGGATGAGTTAGCAAAAAATGTGGCGATCTGAGTCAAGAAAACATCACAAAGGCAAGAAAAACTGCCTTTAAGACCAATAGTTTAATTGAACTGAAATCTCTCATATCCATTATGCACCCTCCTCTTGACACCCACACTCCCCAGCCCATGAATTATGGAGTGGATCCTTGACATGACATTTGAGAGATGCAGCCTTCTTGTCAATGACAAATCCATATTATTTCTTCCTGAAAATAAAGACTAAAATTAAAAAGGCTTCTTAAGAATGAAGTCACCAGGGAACAAAGGCTTTTGTCTTTAATTGCTCAGGGTGCTCAGAAGATAGAAGTGAATAGTCAGTCATACTCCCTCCTCTACCAGCTTGAGCTTTCCTCACTGTTCTCAAGAACAACTCAGCTGAGAACAAAACCCCAGCTTTAGGGATGGAATTTCAAATATGGATGGTATCTGTCACCCATGAGCTAATGCCCTGCCCAGTGTCACAGAACAGTATTCAGCTCAGACCAAGATGATAACACCAAAGGGTCAGGATTTTCCAAACTTCCTCCTCCTCAAAATAAACCTGCTGTGCTGGCTGGTACAGAGGAAGTCTCAATTTTCTAAAGCCCTCTCCTCTGGACACCTTGCTTTCAAGGAATGTGTTTGACATGGCAGGATCATAGCCCTAGTAAGTCACAGGAAAAATAAGAGCAAACAATTAAAACCTGATTCTGATAACTCAGCACACACGGGCTGGCACAAGTGAAAACACAGCTTTTAGAATCACATGCTTTCTCTCCTCTTCTGAATATAAACCAGCTTGTCAGGTGACAAGCAAAATGCAGAGAATTCACCCAGCCACAGAGTGCTGCCCGTCCCCTTCCTCAAACAAGGCTAGAGAGGTAGAATTTTCCCTCCTTTCTTTAAATCACAGACAAACCACAAAATTATTTACAAATAAAGAAGACTAAATGGAGTTAGAAGTGTGCTACTGTACGTTATTGTTCCCATTTATATTATTTTGGTGCCCTCTGCTCCGCACACATAAAATAAAACAGCGATGTAGAACGCTCAGTACCTTGTCACTGTACAAATGTCCTTTTTGTTCTCTGCCCACGGCAAAGGTGGGTGAATAGCCTCGACTCTCATCACTTCTATTACATGAGCCCTGCATTGTGCTCAGAGCTGGGTGAGAGCTGACCCAAAACCACAGAGCTGAAGGCAGAGAGCAGAGCCACACTTGGCTTCACCGCCACCACAACCAGTGGGGACATGGGGGATGCTGAGCCCGTGCTGCAGCTCAGTCTCTACAGGCAGTGTGGTGCATCTCTGCCCAGGAGAGCTCACTGACATCCCTCTGCCTCTTGGGCTTCTCTGCCAGCTGTGCAAACCAGGCACAATGGAAGGGATGGGAGCCTGACCGAGCAAGCTGAACCGTGTGCGTTCAGCAGGGTGGCAGCAGCTCCTACCTCCCACAACCCTCGGCAGAAGCTCAGCTCCTCTGGACCTTTACAGAGACAAAGGTGCAGCTGGGCTGTTTCAGTTCATGCTGGAGTGGCCATTTGTTGACGTTGTTCATGCAGGGATTAGCTCATTTCCCTTGGCAGCCCTCCTGCAGGAGCAGAGACGCTCTCCCCACTCACAGGCGCAGCTGGAGGCCGGGCAGTGTTGACACAGGAAGCCTACAGCAAAAACTCAAAACAAAACAAAACCCACACCCCAGCCCTCCCAGCCGCCTCCTCACAAATGCTTTGCCTTCCTAAGGCAGTTACCAGCAGTCTGCAGAGATGTTTCCCAGATGTTATCCTGGGTTCTAAACTGACTCCTGTAAATCAAGGATCACCCCTGGAACTTCGATGGCCGCCTACCAGCCCCTCCTCAGCACCCACAAATTCCTTCCTCTTTTTTTGACTCTGTGACTAGCTGAACAAACACACTTACCTGCATCTTTCAGAACCCCCCTGCATCTCCCAACCCACATCTGTTTTCCCCTAATTTTCCCCTAAAACCAGGGAAAAGCCCTGGTTTTCCTCCAGCCCAGGCAGCACTCTCCCTTTGGCCATGGCAAGGACATCATCCCACAAAGCCCAAGAGCACCAGCGGTGCATCCACCCCGAGCTGCCAGGAGCACCCATCCCCCTGTGCCAGCACTGCAGAAAGCCCAGCCGTGAGATCCCAGCCCGGCCAGGGAGCAGGGACAGCACAGCCAGCAGCTCTCTTCTGCTTGAGCCAGCAAAACATGTGCCTGGGGATTTACAGAGTGAATGCAACGTGACGTAGGGTGGTGATGTTTTCAGGCTCTTTAGGAAACTCCAGCCACGTGCCACATTACCCTGAAATTGCCCCATATTTCAACATGCATCGTTCATCTTGCTGCAACAGGATTTTTTTTTAATATTTATGTTTAGGAATGCACCAAACTGGAATATAAATAAAATAAATTACAGTAGTTCCATGGCAAAAATAGACTAGTTTAACATTTCAAAGCAAAAATATTTTTTTTACCATACCTTTTTTTAGAAAAATTGGCCAATGTGTGTAGAAAGAGACCCCAAAATGTCACCTGCAACAAGTGACCTACAAAGCACCTGGAACAAGTGAACTACAAAGAGCACAATACATGCAGGAGAAATTTCTGAAATTCCCCATGAAAAATAATTTTAAAAAGCTGTTGAAGTGATAAGATTGGGAGTATATAGATGTCACCATAACTTCTCTATATATCTATTCATCCTATTTCTCTTAAAGTCTGTACCATACCTCCAAGAATATCCTAAAAATAGCAGGTTTGGGGAAGTTATCAATTTTGACCAGCACAACACTATCACAGAAATCTTATCTCACTTTTAATTCATGTAAATGCCTGGAAATAGTCCAAATTGATGTGGCAGGGTGACAGCCTCCATGAAATCTCTCCACCTATGAATGGTTTCTTTCTCTCATCACAGGCTGCAACACCTCCAGTGAACAGGCACAGGGAACATCCCCAGGGAACGTTGCTCTGCATCCTTCAGTGCTCCAGCATGGAGAAAATGCTCTTTCTGGCCTCCTTAGTCTGGAAATGATCCTGCCTGGAGGAGCTGCTTTCAGATGGTACCACAATGGTCCAAGAAAGGATAGCACTGGCTACGTTTGCCTGGAAAATGAGGGTTTTTCTCAAAGACAGAACAAAACTGTTGCTTTCAGATGCAGGTTCTGCAAGATCTCATTAATTTCAATCTCTAAAAGGAATCTGAAAAATATGTCTAAAAGACATCTGAAAATTAGATTGTTTTCTGGACTTTTCCTGGACTTAGAAACAACACCAGAAACTCTTCTTGCTTTTTTTAAAATTTTCATTTCAAACATCCTGGTTTCCAAATTTATTCTGCGCAGCTGCATTCCTTTCCTTCTCCAAGGAAGCTGTGCAGATCAACTCCCCAGCTCCACCTGCTCTTCTGCTGACACCCATAAAACCTCTTCTCAGCAAGAAAATCCACAGCCCCTTGCTCCCATCTCTGAGGGAGTGAAAGCACCAGGACTCCCTGCTCTGTGCCCTGACAGAGGTGAGGGACTGAAGGTTCCCAGCCCTACAGCAGCTCCCAGCTCCCTGTCCGAGTGCCTGAGCACCAGCCACAGCACTGCTCCTCCCTGGAGCTCCTTCCAAAGCCCTATGTGGCACTGGGACCCCGAGCACACAAGGATCCCAGCACTGTGAGCCTCCAGCACTGCCCCTGCACCACAGGGTAAAGCATTTGCAAAACACAAACAGTTACGAAACAGCTTCCAAGAGCTTCCCCTTCCAGCTTAGGCTGCATGACTAACTTTCCACAATTAATACTGGTATTTCAATTAGCACAGAAACTCAGAGGAGTTGCAACATGCATGTGACATGTCACAGAGGGTTATGGTATAAGCACGATGCTCTTGGAGGCTGCAGAGTGCCCACACACTGGAGTGATTTGTCAGTTAATGGAGACAAGAACATGTCCAGTAAAAGCCTAATTATAAGGTAAGCAAAATACAACAAGGACAATTTCTATAGCTTGTTTGGGTGTGCAAATTCATTCAGATTAAAACAGGGTTTAGTTTACAAACAGTAGCAGCTATTTCCAAGCAATCTCAGCACTGAACACTTTGTCTCCAGATGCTGGGGGTGCCCTTCTGCTCCTGCAGTGAGCAGTGTCTGTGTCTGAAGGAAACACTGCTCAGGCAGCACAAACCCACACTGCACAGCAGTGATCACAAAGAGGGGTGGGGAGGAACTCAGGCATCAGCACATTGATAGAGATGAGGAGTGTCTGCAGTCCCATGTTTTCCACTGTTCATGAAAGCTGATAGGTACACTCAAAAAAAAAAGTTTAGGTGAAGGAACTGAGCGGTTAGTCAGACGAAGTACATGTTTCAACTTATTTAGGATACTAAGGATATATGGTGATACCCTGTGGTTCATTTTATCAAAAATACAGAGGAATCAGGATCCTCTCTCGCTGGAAATCCAGTATTTGCCATGATTGATGATGCACAAACTTGTTGCTCCAAGCTGAGCAGAGCTAGCCAGGGTCCTCCACTGCTAAGTGAGCACAGGAGGCTGTTACAGATGTACTGTCAGCTGCCATGGGGACAGTGTGCACAATCACACAGGAAGGACCAGCTTCCATCCTGCCCCTTGCAAAAAGGTACTTCAGAGGGAGCAGAGCACACCAGCAGCCAGTGCTAAGGCAGGTTATTCAGGACAGTGCTGGGAATGGCACAGAGCTGTCCCAAGACCAGCACACCTTCCCTCACACTTTCTCACAGGAGAAGCCCAAGCCTTCAGTTTGCTTATAAAATCTCATATCCAGCTCCTTTTGTTTAAAGACCAGATTGCAAGAGGTGGAAAACTCTCCCCAGCTCATGGCAAGCCTGGACAAGCAGCGACAGGTTCCAGACAAGCACCCTCCTCTGGGAGCTCTTCCAAGCAAGGATGAAGATGGTGGTTGAAGATGATGGTGGTAATTAGGTGCAAGTGTTGCCCAGTGACTTAATTTGCTGTGCACCAATAGTATTGGCTAATGTAATCAAGTATTTAAATGACAGCAGGAAAAGAGGGGTTCTCACCTGGGCAGGACACCACAGCCTGTCACAAACAGGCAGGTGGCAGTGCCCTGTGGGATGGGCTGTCACACCCATCCCCGTGCCCACAGCACACCCAGAGGCACTGAGCCAGCACCAGCCTGGGGTGAGATGCCCAGCACCTTGCCTTGCTCTTGGTCTGCCAGCTGCTTGCTGTGTGGCTGCCAGGCTCCAGCCCTGGCTGTTTCAGTGGCAGCAGAGACACCATGTCACACCAGTGCCCAGCTTGTCCCAAAGCCACTGCCAGCTGGGACACCAGGTCACAGCAGTGCCCAGCTGCTCCCAAAGGCCCAGCTGCTCCCAAAGCCACTACCAGCTGGGACACCAGGTCACAGCAATGCCCAGCTGCTCCCAAAGCCACTACCAGCTGCCCCCACAGTGCCAGAAGCCAGGGCAGAAACACAGACACCAACTCCCAATGCCCAGCCCCAACCCAGGACTCCTTCCCTGAAGCCAAGGACACAACAGGTCACCCCCAGGTCACCAGTGTTGGTGTCTCCAGTCTCCACAGAGCTGTGGTAAGGGCAGTGTGAAGGGAGATCACAAAGGATCCTTGCAGTAAAGCTGGGGAACATCAGGATGACTTTACTTGACCCAACACTGGTAGCCAGGTGTGGCTGCCCAGGTCAGAGTTAAATACAAGGTGAGTGCAGTGTGGTGCTTACTCTCAACACCTTTCCTGCATCCTCATTTAAAGAAATGGCAAACTAAAGGTTGCATAGTGGTATTTAATAACCCCCTATGAGATTTTTCAGGCCCTTTCTGAGCTCATATAATCTTTTAACCTCTGCAGTACCTCGTGGCAAGGAATCCCACAGCTTAACTGTCTGTGAAAAAAAGGCTTCCACTCTTTTTAGTGGACTGTGAGGAGAGGCCCTTTTTACAGGGAAATTAACAAAGGACAGTGACACCAAAAGGCAACAGCAAATTAGAGAAGAAACAAAGAAACAAATGGGAAAAAACCATTAGCTTAGAGGAACACACAAGAAAGGGTGTACAGACTTATTCATAAATCAAACATTAAATTTTCTAGCAGAAGTGACATAAAGAGGGTAGAGAGCAAGAATAGCTACAAGCTGTTTCTGGTGATCTTGCCCCCTCCCTTTTAAATATCCAAGCACAAATGAAAAACCTTGTGCCTTTTTAAAACAAAACACTCCCCACTTGAATGGCTGCCATGACTCTTTCTTAGACAATGAACCCCACTGAAGATTTCACTTTGTCAACAAGTTAGCTGGTTTGGGCCAGAAAGCAGATATCATCTATTCAATGTTTTATGGTCCCCAGCACAGAACCATTGTGCTGGTCACTCCAAGTTCCTGCTGCCTTCATCACTCCTCCATTAGCCAGGGCTGGGAACTGTGCTCTGGCAGAGCAGAGCCAACACTTCATATATCTCATCCTAAACTTGTTAACATGCTCAGTCACAGTGAGCTGATGTATTTCCCAGACAAAATACAATATATGGCTGAAAAAATGAACTTTCTGTCCCTTCCAGTGCTTGCTCTCCAGCTTTGGAACCCAGCTCCTCCTTCAGTGTTTTCGCAAGTCTGAAGATTTCCCTCTGCCATTGCTTCCATGATGGAGCATCCTCTGTGAATTTATTCCAGGATTTATTTCATATTGGTAGAAAATATTTATACCAGAACATGAAAATCTCTCATGTGTCTTGTGTCTAAGCATCTTAAAGCTTATCTACAAGGCAAATGGGTTATACAGTGTCATACCATTACAAAGAAGTTATACATATGTAAATCCCCAGGCACTTTTGAAAAGTTCTCCCCTTTTCAGCCTCTTCTGACATC